TCCAGATGTTTGGGGACTTCAACTCCCATCATCCCTGACCACTGGTCCTGTTAGCTAGGGGTGATGGGTGGTTTAGACCACAGCATCCCAAAACATCTGGAGGGCCAAGTTTGCCCATGCCTGGCCTGACCTATTTAATTGTTCAGAGCTCACCTGGGAACCAATCCTAAACTCAGTTCTCCACAGTTCTGAAAAAGTTGTGATTTGCTCAGTGGCAAACACCAGATCATGGCTATGATGTGCCACATGTGTTGGACCCTGAGGTACTGCGTATATAATCCTGAGCTTGACCAGATGAAGTGGTTCAGTGTAGATACTAAGTCATCCAACACTACTGTGTGTGTCTTCTCCAAGACCACCTTTGAGACTGCCTCTGCCAGCTCAGGTAGGAATGTTGTTGCACACCCTAACACAAACCCGTACTTGTTTGAATGCCCACACCATACCTCAGATTTTCTGGCTTGGAGTGACATACACATTTTTTTTAAAAAAAAATCCCTGCTCTTTTGTGCAGATCTGGTTTATTAGAAAACTTACATTCTAAAAATTATCTTTTAGAAAAAAAAGCTATGCACACAACTGAACAAATACCTGTGTGTATGCTCACAACAGACCTCAGGTTTTTGGAATTTATGGTGAGTGGGGAGGTACTAATTAAGGGAAGGGATGCTGTGGTCTAAACCACTGAGCCTCTTGGGCTTGCCAATCAGAAGGTCGGGCGGATTGAATTTGCTCTGTCCCAGCTCCTGCCAACCTAGCAGTTTGAAAGCATGCCAGTGCAAGTAGATAAATAGGTACTGTTGTGGTGGGAAGGTAAATAGCATTTCCGTGCACTCTGGTTTCTGTCACAGTGTTCCGTTGCCTTGAGTACATCCCTTGTGAAACAACAACAAGCATCACCTTGGAGAAGACTTGGTGCTTCTCTGCACCTTTTCCAACAGGGAGTGGACAGCGTGGTATAATAGAGCAAGTGATAGGCAGGTGGGGAACACTGGCCCTGGGGGCTGAATGTGGCCTTCAGAGTCCTCCATTAAACCATTGACAATCACTCGTTTCTGTCACAGTGTTCCATTGCGCCAGAAGCGGTTTAGTCCTGCTGGCCACATGACCCGGAAATCTGTCTGTGGACAAACGCCGGCTCCCTCAGCCTGAAAGCGAGATGAGCGCCGCAACCCCATAGTCACCTTTGACTGAACTTAACCATCCAGGGATCCTTTACTAATTGAGGAGAGGGAACAACAACATCCAGTGTGAAAATATCCCACTAACATCACCCACTAGAAATGTGGAGGTGTATGGACACAGCCCTAGGCTTTGTTTGGTATAAATTTTCTTTGAAAGAACTTGCTTTGTAGGTACTATTAACACTGCTGCGTCTGCCACCATTATGATCACATTGTGTCTATTTTCTTTTCGTTTGAGAGCATCTTCAGTATGTTATATCTTTCACAGATGATAAATCATGGCAGTTTCACAGTACAGGGGCCAGGCATTGGTAATACTTATCACCACTGAACTTTCCTTTTCCTTTATTGCATAGTTACAACCTTCTTAGCAAGAAAGATTAATTGTGGTCACAGATAAAAAGCGTTTAAATGGTAGGCATCTATCAAATGAAGTAACCCAACATTTAAAGGTATTAGCAGTGATTGCAGTAGATTTTAACAGATGGACTCCCCCACCCTTAAGACATCCTATTAAATTGTATTTAACATTCTATTACTCATTCCGAACTCTTCAGAAAATGGCAGGATGGAAATAAAAATCAGAGTATCAAAGAACACTATACAAGATAATAAAAACAGTCATTTGGAGAGAGTATTTGACATTGCGGGATACTAGATCCCTGCCCCTTTAAACCACTGCCGTGGGCTGATATGCTGTAGGCATGATAATAGTAAAAGACGACCCTTTGAGGAAGAAAAGAGAATTTGAAAAGTTATTTCATTAGAGGCCATTTTAAAGGCTTTCTAGCTAGATTACATAAAATTGTATCATTTTGTACACTGCTCAGTTTTATTTGTGAGAAAGGCAACCCCCTATTTACGTCGAGGTTGCGTTGCAAGGCACTGCGTGTTTAAGTGAAATTGTTTATATTTGATACACAATTTTATTTTATTTTTTTAAATGATATTTATTGGAAATTTAAAGTTACAGGGGAAAAAAGAAAAACAAGAAAAAAGAGATTAAACAGTACAAATCAATAAAAAGAAAAAAGTACAAAACATACAATACATCAAAATCAAAAACAAGAGCAAAAGAATAAATTTAAAAACAAATCCAATATTCCAATATCCTTATCTTCATTAACTTGTTTCATTGACCTCCTCACACCTCCCTTTTTTGTATTCTAATTATTAATTATCTCAGCAAATCCTTTCCATCTTTCACTGTATTCTGTCCTTTAGTTGTCTTAATTTATTTTAACCTTATCTTACCATAAAAAGCCCTAGAACTTAAAAACTTATTTATACATAACTCCTTATAACATTTCTACTAAAGCCTAATAGTTTCATTCCAAGATTTTTCTAACACTCATTAATTTTGCAATATTTCTCTAAATGAATTTTTAAACTTTCTTCCAATCTTCATCCACCGTCTCTTCTTCCTGGTCTCGGGTTCTGTCAGTCTTTTCTGTCTATTCCATCTAGTCCATCAACCTGGTGATCTTATGTCCGAGGCTCTTAACTCTTTTCCATGTCCCTTCTGCAGATCTTCTTCATATTTGTACCTGCACTTTACTTTGTCTTCTGCTGGTCTTGTTCTTAATTTCCTTCCTTTGTCGAAACACAATTTTAAAAGCCTGCAAACATCCAGTTCTGCCTCACCGCACCCCACCCATTTTGGTGATGATTTTGTGACGTTTTCAGGTCACTTCCAGGTTCAGCATGTGATGCCCATGTGTGCAGTCGTGCACATATTGAACCCACATAAATGGGGTTTTTCCTGTATATAGGTTTGTTTCCGTCTGGCTTTTTTTGGTCTGATGTTTTCAAGTCACTTCTGGGTTTGGCGCCTTGTGCTATCGCGCATCAATCAGACACATGTCAGTTGGTTTTTGCGTGTATAATGTTTGAATCAGCTCTTCAGGCAGGCTTCAGAGGTCTCTGAGAGAAAGAGGAGTCTGAAGATTAGCTTTTAAAAATGCTCTTTAATGCCCTCACCATTTGTCTGATGTGTGGAATATACTACTGGAAGGCCACTTGTGACAGACTGTAGGATTTGCTATACACAACACTTCCATGTGAGGCTAAGTCAGGTCATACATTGTTTATCCAAACATTAATGTTTGGCCAGCAGCCCAGGTTCCCTCATGCTAAGTGCTTGTGTCTCAGACATAAACTAATGCTGTGTGCACTGCAATGTATGGAAATCTATCTTGACATAACTGGGTAAGGGATCAGGCCCTGTCAGGCCTGAGCTCTAGGCAGTGGTCTGAGCTGACCCACGAGCCAAGAATTGCACCAGGAGATCACAGTCAAGAGACAAAGCCAGCAGCTGAGACCAGTGTGTAAACTGGGACCAAAAGACAAACCAGGAAGGATTAAGGGTCCAATCAATAACTTTCCTGTTTGTCTACTCCACTGCTGTTTTGTTTACCATGTTCCCCCATCTCTCCTATCTAGTGAAACTAATAAGGTAGCCTTGCCAATTTTCACCAATAGTATCTAGTATCTGGTGGAAACTGATAAAGTCAGGGCAAGTCATTGACCATTTCTTCAGCATTTCCCCTACTCTGCTTCTTCGAAAAGGCCTGAATAGTTGCACCAGCACAAGTATAAATAGTAATACTTGAATTTAACACAACATTGAAACTAATGAGGCATGAATATAACGGACAAGTGTTTTTTCTAATTTCACAGAGTTCAGAGAGGGTTGACAGTGAGGGAAATAGCAGATGAGAGCAGCTTGGAAAAGGAGAGGAAACTGGGTAACATGCAACACATGTTAATTGTGGCCATACACACTGCAGCAGCACAAATGGATGCCTTCATCTGCTCCAGCTGCAACAAACATGTCTTTCCTGCGTTGGGCAACAATTTGTCTTCACCCCCAAAGGTACACTCCTCCATTGCCTTTTTAGACAGACAAATGCCATCAACATACACACAGAGAATGAATGTGTGCATACAGAGAAAATTTTAAATGTGAAAAAATGCTTACAACACAGGAAGGTTGGAGTGCAATTGCAAATTCACTTTTACTATCCATTACTACAACTGGCCAATAGTTGATTTCTGTCTTTCACGGACAACATGGGAAGAGGATATGGAACGCATTCTGCTTCAAATCTGTTCCTCAGGCTCTAATACAGACTTCCCACACTATATTCTGTCTGTGGGCTAAATACTTTTTCTGTCTGTAGGCTAAATACTTAGTACTGAATTTTAAGTCTCTCTGATAGTCTTTTTATTGCTAAAGGCTGTGGTATAAGTGCCTCAAGTAAATAAATGCAAAGTTGGCATCCCATGTACATTATGCTAGAGTTTTGCAACTACATTATAGATACCAGTTCTGCTTTGGAATTTTGTTAAGGTCTCAAAAAGTATTACTTTTTATTGAGAAAAGGAGTAATATTTAATTTCTGCCTTCTCCAGATATCCACCTCATTCTTGTACAGGAAACTGTAAATGTTGAAAACTTCCTAATTATTCATTCTCAAGCACATGCACACACCAATGACTTGTCAGTCTCCCACACAAAGCACAGCAGATAATCTTGGATTTTTCCCCCAGGTACTTTTCAAATGGCTAAATAACTTCTTAGTACAAGTAGAGGAAGGCGTAGGCCGGTTCCAGGAATTCTCTTGTTCAGGATCCCAAGAATCATTGTCTTTCATCACCCAAATAGGCCTTGGCAGATGGTGTAGCAGAGTGTGAGATTTGTAGGTGTGGCTCATTTTCTGGCAAGGTGGTTTAAAGAACAACAACAACAACAACTTAGAGTTATTATATCCAACTACTGAACAATCCTTTCTGTTTTCTTTTCCCTATTCCCAGCTAGTATTGCCAGAATATTCGATCCATAGCCTTTTCTGCATAATGTTTCTGTGTGCTCAAGAATGGCTGACCCTTGGCTTGAATATTCCTCTGCTTTTCTATCACTTCTGGAGGTAAGTCATATTCCTGCTTGGAAGTTCATTGTTTCCCTTGCTGCATCTGTCACTTCCAGAGAAGCTTAGATAGGCTAGTTTTAGCTTTTTGGTTTTAGTAATCCAGGAGGCTTTAAGGCAGACTGGATTCTCCCGATATTTCCCCCTTTTCTCTCCTTTAGAACAATAATTACACAAACAGTCTTGTAAAAGGTAAAATTTGCCCACTCGGAGTACTTCAACAAGGTAACAGATACAGCAGCATTGTTCAGGCAGGCTTAAAATGGTAGTTCAGTTACAAAGACATACTTAAGTCTAGCTTAAAATGGAGTCTGAGCTTGGAGCTCAGCAGATGTTCTACATTGTTGGCAGAGCGGAAAGAGGAAGAGAGTGTGGCCTGGCAGGCAGGATAGCTACGCCCTCCCCATGTCAGGGCACAGGGGGTGTGTCTCTCGCAGAGTCCTCTCCAGCACACTTACAGGAAAACACTGTCAGCTTCAGCTCCTATCATGTGCCTATCTAGCAAAACATGAATTGTTGGCTTGACTGCCTTTAAATATCCCACAGCCCCTAGCTTCTCATGACAAATGGCTTGTGTATAGGCTTTTCCTTCACCAGGTGCTTCTTTTTCTTTTTCAGGTATTTCCACTGTCCAGCAGACAGTACGGAGCTAGCATATGACCCTCCTGCAGTAATGAATGCAGACACCTTGATCTACTGCCAAAGAGAGGCCTGGTGTAAACTAGCTTTCTATCTCCTCTCCTTCTTCTACTATCTTTACTGGTAAGCTTGGTCTCACTTCCCTCAAGGAGAGTGGTAAAGACCTTAGAGGAAAGGTGGGCAAATCTTGGTGCTCCAGAGGTTGTTTGAGTACAGCTCTCATTGTCCATCCTGGAGGCCCACATCCCTGTCTTAGAGGGCGGATCTGGGGGGCCACTGATTTCCCCACACCTGCTTTAGAGGGTAGAGCGATTGTGGGTGGACAGAGGGTAGAGAAGATCTATAGTTATTGCAACTAAGAACAACACTTAACAAAGAACAGGCAGGGTAATACTGTTTGCTGAGGCTTTCAGATTCTTTGTGCAAACCTCTGATACTCTATTAAGGTGTAGCGCAACAATAAATGAGTAACTATTTTGTGTAGCAGTCTATACATTTTAACATTTTCTTCCTTCCCTGGTACATCTTGTACCAATTTCTGCTCCTATTTTTGAGTCATCGCAGAGTGACACGCACAGAGTACTGTAAAACCACTGGGCACACCCAAGTGACCATAATGGAAGGAAGCTAGCAATTTTCAGGGTGTGTTTGTAAGCGAGGGATTTCCAGTACTTCGTGTACACACCAGTACTGAGGGTGTGCTTCAGGATGAGAGATTTCCTCCCCCCACCCCAGCCGCCCATATAAGAGCTAATGAAAGACCATTAGAACATGTGTTGCATCAAAGCTCCTTCTCTGAGGCAGCAGTGACCTTGATTGGCCCAAATGTACAACTTCCTAGCCAATTATTAATGAAGGTATTAGTTCATTTTCTTGGGCACATTTAGGATCTGGCCAATGAAGCTTCAAAGTGCCATAAAGGAGGTAGAGCAGTGTTTCTGAGGCTGCATACACACTCCCATTTAATCTGCATCCACCACTGGTTAGGGAAATGTTTTGTTGTTTAGTCATTTAGTCGTGTCCGACTCTTCTTGACCCCATGGACCAGAGCACGCCAGGCACTCCTGTCTTCCACTGCCTCCCGCAGTTTGGTCAAACTCATTCTAGGAAATGTTGTACACATGACCTTAGCCACAATCTATATATATCCTGTATCTGCCCTGCTTGCTTCTCATGAAATACTGCATTTTGATGCATTTTCCCTCACCCAACTAGCTCTGATCCAAATTGAGAAAAAGAATAACCTAGTTAGGGTTTAAGATGGTAACGTGTACACAGCCTAAGACGCTGCTTTTGCCCCTTAATCCATTGCACTGCCACAGCCCTACCTTAGTTGTGTGCCACCAGACTTAACACATTTCTTTTGTGACCTGTTAATACATCAGGATGTGTGCTCATGCTTCATTACCTGGAGAAAGCTACCATGTATAAAAGCAGCAAAACACTTTTCTGGCAACAATACCTTTTATAGATTATATAATCTGCCATTAACCTCCGCAGACTGTTTATAAGTAAAATCAATTTGGAAAGAGTACAGTGAATAAAGTAAACTGCTGACTGTTTTCTGAAATGGGGACATAGGAGGGTGTTTGGCAATGCAAGGAGGACCGAATTCAAGGAACAGGAAGTGGAATGGCAGAACACTGCCCAGATTGCTAATAGGTTGAGAGAAGAACCATGTTACCTGTCGGAGAGGCTGAACCAGAGGTGATGGCAACAGATCCGTGTGTTCTAAACATGTATCTGCTCCAAACATATAGAAAATAGAGAGCACAATCAGTTTTTAAACAGCATGAGGAGTGAATGGTTGCAGAGCACAGGTTCCTTCCCTCCCCTGCCACACAATAAGTTATTTTCCACCTCAACCAGGCTGGTGTCCCTTTTGATGCTAAGACCAGACCCATCTCCTACTGAAACGTTCCTCTATGGACATATCTGAAGGTACGTGATTTAGCAATCTTGTGAAACAACTTGGGTCCGGGTTTGGTCAGTTGGGACGCCACCTCAGAACACCATGTATGTTGTCCTGAGCTTCAACTGTGATGTTTTAATATAAAATAGGGTTTTAAAATGTATAAAAACAAAAAACTGCACACAGAGGTCTGCTCATGTCTAATTTGGCTGCTGCTGGAGCATATCAGTGTGTTTCCTTAGAAGTGTTCTACAAAGCAATAGTCTTTAATTAGGTGTGAGTTTGTGTGTATTTAAAAGGACTCCACTGTTTAGCTATGACCAGAATTACATTATTTATGGCTCTTTTCCAAAGACAAAAACCCCTCTCATTAATCTTCATTTTTCTTGCATCGCAAGGAAAAGGGCGGGGGAGGGGGAACATTTAAATAGAAATCCTGCCCGTACTTCAGGGAATTGCTGGCAGAAATTTCAAAGATCAAACACACTATTGCAAAAGGTTTCTTCTTAGTATCAAACAAAGTAGAATTTCAGGCATGTCTTGGAAATCACTGAGGAAACGGTAAAAATAAAAATATCCTGCATGTTTTCCCATTCTCCTTGTAAATCCATCATAATTTGGATATAATATGGAGTTGCCAAAAAGGAGCAGGTTTCACATACAGAGCAAGGAAGGAAATGGGACTTCAGGGTCAGCATAAGGGGAAAGGGTTAGGAAGCTAAACGAGGTGCTGCAATATTCAAAGGGATCTTTTCATACTGAACCTTTTCTCTTTATATACAGCATGATCTACTCTTTAGTGACTTCCTAATTCAAAGAAGGCGTTAAAGACTGGAAACTACAAAGGGTAGAGATTAAAGACAAGCTGGTCTGCAGTCACACTTGGCATATGAAGCACCACAAAGAAATGGAAGCTTTGAACCCAACCACCATACTGGATGTAAAAAGGGGGGAAATCATTAGAAGAAGTTTAAAAAATTGAAAGTAATAGATGGCTGAACAAACTGCTTCTCCTGCTTACCATTCTGTGTTTTACATCCTTTGGGATTTCCAATTCCCCAGCATGAACAAAACAAATACGACTATTGAATATGGCTTCATCTGCATGTGACGGGAGCAAAAGATTCTGTCATATTACTTTATCATAGAACTGCAACTCCCAAAAGGAGGAAGATTTGTTCCTTACCCCTTTTTCCACAGAGGGGCTAGTAACGCAAGATGGCTGCCTACAAAAACTGACCAAGAAGATTGCTGTGAAGTTTTGATGTGTGATTCTCTGCTCCCAGAGTATCATCAGTTGCTGGACACAAGCTGGCAAATACCTGGCTAAATTGCTCTTTGCCTGAAGAAGAAAAGATGCATCTTGTCAATTAGAACACATTGGCAGAAACACGTTCAAATTATGCACCCAGCCATTCTCACTTAAAGGCTTTTCTTGTGGTTGATCCTCCAGTGATTTATACTAGCATGCCCAAGCAATGCTGAACCAATTCAGACACGGTAAAGTCAATAGTACTAGTCCGTTTTTTATGATGACACAATTATGTCAAGCATCCTACATAGTATAATATTTCCTCTACTGAAGGAAAAATACTAATAACACACGAAGGAATGGTGTGGCAGAATGTTCTGCAATACAGACTGCAAAAGGACCACATTACTTTAGTCTGCAGTCTTGTCATGTGGTTTTAGGTGTATGGTGCAACAGAACCTGAAGTTAATGGGACTATTCACCCCCCACAAGCATATTGAATAGATGTTGTTGAGCATAGTAATAAATGGTGGTTATTATTAATTTTGTATACAAGATTTCTAATTTCATCTGAGATATCGTGCTAATTAGGTTGGCCATATGGGCTGTATGTGTCTGCTGTATGTCTGCTACATACACACATTTCTTATATATATATTATTTATTTAACAAAATTTGAAGACTGCTTGATCGCTAAAACCTCTATGCACACATATTTTTAATGTGTCTCCAAGAGTGTAGACTTCATGCTATTGTCTTTAAAGTTGTAATCCCTAACACTTTACTAGGGAGTAAATCCCACTGAACTCAGTGGAACTTACTTCTAATATGGTTAAGGGTGCTCTGTATGGAATCGATTTTCATTTTGTACTTTAGTTTTTTGAACTACAATTCTTTGGCATAAAATATAATCTAATTTGTTACCCAAGATGTGCACCCTTATATTAAAAAATATACAATTAAGGTGGGTCAGAAAAAAGGGGCACCTTCTTCAGTCTTCTGCCTTGCACTGTTGCTGTGGCCAGTATGCCAAGCTAAAAATCTCAACAGGATGCTGCTGCCTGCCCTGAAAGGAAGGAGAGACTGCAGTAAATAACCTGGTGGTGGAAGTCTCTCTTTTGCCATGATTTCAGTGAAGAGGAGATAGACTAACAGCACAGTCCTATACATGTTTATTCAGAAGTATGCCCCAATGAGTTCAGTTGGTCTTACTCAGGTAAGTGGGTATATGGTTGCAGCCTAAGGGTTTCAGTTGAGTGTTTATTGTGGGATCAGTACTTCTCATGCATGCAGGTTTTATGCAGCATCCATAGTGTTAGTATCAAAAATCGCCCCCTGTCCTGTTTAATGTAGATTTCTGGGAGAAATTTGATTAAATGACCCATTTGTGGTATCTTAAAGGTCTGTTTGCAATATTAAGCCTCTACCTAGAACCACCATAAATCTGCAATACTGTGCACACTTACTTGGGAGTGAATGTCACACCCCCAAAATAAACATGCATAGGATTATGCTGTACAGCTAAATGCGAAAGGTGAGCCAACTCAGGTAGAAATTGGAAAGCCGTCCCATTGACCTCAATGAGGTGGTAGCAATAGAAACTTAGCTCATTCAGAATATTTTGCTTTGGTTAAAGATAAAAAGCAATCGTTTGAATCCCAGTACATATTATTGGCCTGAAAATCTGGAACGTTGTGCAGCCACCATATGTCTCTCCCCCCCCCCTTTAGGTCCTGCTGTATGCAACCATCACCCAGTTGACTAAAATTTCATCTTTCTGTTGTAAATCATTGCAAAGTTGAGTTAGCAGTATGGCAACAATTGCCTTGGTAAGGTAGCTTCTCCAGTAAGTTTATTAAACAAGGCAATAATCAGAATCTTCTTTTTGGGGTGGCTTGAAGTAAAATAATAACAATATTTTCTTAAAATACATTTTGTTATTGTGAATGATACACATATTCTGAATGGGTAGCTCTTTCTGTGAATGGCTGGATCAATAGCTGAGTAGTGCCTCACAAAATGCCACACACACTTACCTTCGAATAAACCCCACAGAATTAAACAGGACTTACGTCTGAGTAGATATGCATAAAATTGCACTGTTCGGCTGCAGTCTTGCACCCATGTCCCTGGAAGTAAACCCTGCTGAACTCAGTGGGACTTACTTCTGAGCAGATGCATATAGGATTGCACTGTTAGTGTATCCATCTTGTTTGGAGGGAAGGTGAGGAACAGATTATGCCTGGCTGAAAATAAAGGGTGGGACCCAGGTGTGATTTCTAGCCTGGGTCATGCACTTCCTATTTTTATGTTAATAAAAAAATAAATGATTGTGAGCTGCTTCTAATCTGCATTTTCTTGCAGGTGCAAGTCCACTGAGGTGCTACACTGAGCAAATTTCCAAAGAGCTTGGATTAAGGACTGTGTACTCACATTATGAGTGAAATAGCAAACCGCCTTGGCCTTGCACATCAGCTTTCGTACATTTCTTTAGTTGCAAGGCTGGAAGCAGCCCCTCCAATGGAATGCTGTTCCCCATTCTTCTAGCCTTACTCTGTACTTCATTTAGTCACAGTAATTGCACTGATCATGAATAAAATGTCATTGTTCTGACTGTTACAGATAGGTAGCCGTGTTGGTCTGCCATAGTCAAAACAAAAAAATTCCTTCCAGTAGCACCTTAAAGACCAACTAAGTTAGTTCTTGGTATGAGCTTTCGTGTGCAAGCACACTTCTTCAGATACACTGAAACAGAAGTTGCCAGATCCTTCTATATAGTGAGAAGGTGGGGAGGGGTATTACTCAGAAGGGTGGTGGGAATGGGTGATTGGCAGATAGCTGAGATGAGCCTGTTGACGACTCTTAACGACTGCAATAGGTCTTACAGGAAAAAGCAAGGGGTGAGAAGGTGAGAAATGGCTTTGTCATGTATAATGAGATAAAAATCCAATGTCTTTGTTCAGACCAGGTCTCTCCATGGTTTTAAGTTTGGTAATGAGTTGTAATTCAGCAGCTTCTCTTTCCAGTCTATTTCTGAAATTCCTTTGTAGTAAAACAGCTACTTTGAGATCTTGTATAGAATGTCCTGGGAGATTGAAGTGTTCTCCTACTGGTTTCTCTGTCTTGTGATTCTTGATGTCAGATTTGTGCCAATTTCTGCCAATCACCCATTCCCACCACCCTTCTGAGTAATACCCCTCCCCACCTTCTCACTATATAGAAGGATCTGGCAACTTCTGTTTCAGTGTATCTGAAGAAGTGTGCTTGCACACGAAAGCTCATACCAAGAACTAACTTAGTTGGTCTTTAAGGTGCTACTGGAAGGAATTTTATTGTTCTGACTGGTTTGATTCCCAATACGTCAAATTGATGCAGGAAATAGAATCCTTTCCCTGCTAACAATTACCTGCGTTTACTGTAAAACTTTTTGAGTGGCTTCCTGCTGCACAATGAGTAATAGACAAGTGTGAAAAGTATGTCAGAAGGAGGCATTTCCTTAGCTCTCTGTAGTCTCTCTACTCACCTCTTGCATGCTGAGTAGAGAGAGGAGCTACAAAAAATTCAACAGCAATAGGTATGTGCATCTGCCCAGGCAAACACCTGACTAGCAGGATATGTTTGTACGTGTACTGAAATCAAGAAACTTTGCACAACGAACAGTATATAGAACCTGGACTGCCTCCACAATTTTCTTTTTCTGGATTTTGAGTTAAAAAGTAAGACTTTGGCTTGCCTCAGACCTTGCGTGTTTCCAGCAAACACTGTCATTTAAGAAGATGCATGTGTACGTTGTCATTTGAGGCAATTGCACATTCGTAGGTTTTGCTGCGAAGTACACTTTATACAACAGACCTTGATATTATTGCAGGCTGTGTCCCCCTTTTAACATTTCTATTAATTGTGCTACAATTCATAGCTACAAAAAACTGTTTTCCTCCATCCTATGCTGCGTGAACAGTTTCACCAAATCAATATTGTAGTCCCATTCTCTTCCTAAACACACCTGGGTCTGCTCTGTGTGTGAATTGTTTTTTTTTTTTTTAAATATTTTATTAAGGATTTTCTTGTTTTACAGAAGTGTAGTGCCTCATATATATTTTTCCCCATGTAACATTTTTACAACTGTGTGTGAATTGTTGATCAGATAGATAGATAGATAGATAGATAGATAGATAGATAGATATAGATAGATGATAGATAGAGACTTCACTAAGGCTGAAGTCCTAACTCTATTTTGCCTGGGGTTGTTGAGTTGGCATCCACCTGTCTTGAGAGACAATGGAGTACACCTCTGGGATTGAAGTCCAACTGCTGGAGAATCACAGTGCCTGCTGTGGCTGCAGAGGCTCTTAACTGCTGCCTCCCTCATGGTTTTTACTGTATTAGCAGCACCAAAGTGACCTTTCTAGGGCACATTGCTGGGCAGTGCATATAGGGGTCCTGGGCTGGCCAGATGACAAGACTCCTCTCTCTTGGCCTCACCATCTGCCCCCTCATTTCCCTCTACAGCACATGCAGAAACCTCCTTCTTGACCCCTGTACCCACTATTAGCCTTGCTTGCTCAATCCACTGGTGTCTGACTCTGCATGCAGGTGAAGTCCCTAAGTTAGCTAGCATAATTGATCACAATAGTGTGGGTTACCGTATTTTTCGCACCATAGAACGCACTTTTTCCCTCCTAAAAAGCAAGGGAAAATGTGTGTGCGTCCTATGGAGCGAATGCAGGGGGGAGGCAGGCGGGGAAAGCCCTCAAGAGCCGCACACAAGCTTCGTGCGCTCTTGCGGGCTTTTCTCCAGGAGGGAGAAGGGACTGACTGGCTGCAGCAGTCCCTTCTCCCTCCTGGGGGAAAAGCCCCCAAGAGCGGCACCCTTTTTAAAGGCTGCGCGGCTCCTGCGGGCTTTTCTACGAGGTGGGGGAATCCCCCCACCTCCCAGAAAAGCCAGGAGAAGCCGCACAGCCCCTTTAAAGAGCGTTCGGCTTCTGCGGGAGGTGGGGGAAGCTGCAGCAGATTCCCTCCTCCCGGGCTCCCTTTGAAGCGGCAATGTGGGAGGGGAGCAGCTTACACTCGTGTAAGCAGCTCCTCTCCCACTTTCCTCCTTCAAAGCAACTACGGAGGAGGGAAGGAAGAGGACCATGGATCCTCCGCTGCTGGAGGCTTCAGCAGATTCCCCCCTCCGTGATTGCTTTGAAGCAGGAAAGTGGGAGGGGGCAGCTTACACTCGTGTAAGCAGCTCCTCTCCCACTTTCCTCCTTCAAAGCAACTACGGAGGAGGGAAGGAAGAGGACCATGGATCCTCCTCTGCTGGAGGCTTCAGCAGATTCCCCCCTCCGTGATTGCTTTGAAGCAGGAAAGTGGGAGGGGAGCAGCTTACACTCGTGTAAGCAGCTCCTCTCCCACTTTCCTCCTTCAAAGCAACTACGGAGGAGGGAAGGAAGAGGACCATGGATCCTCCGCTGCTCGAGGCTGCAGCGGATTCCTCCTCCGTAATTGCTTTGAAGCAGGAAAGCGGGAGGGGCGCAGTTTACACTCGTGTAAGCAGCTCCTCTCCCACTTTCCTGCTTCAAAGCAACCACGGAGGAGGGAAGGAGGGGACCCATGGATCCTCTTCGCTGCTCGAGGCTGCAGCAGATTCCCTCGTCCCGGGCTCCCTTTGAAGGCAGCAAAGTGGGAGGGGAGCAGCTTACACTCGTGTAAGCAGCTCCTCTCCCACTTTCCTCCTTCAAAGCAACTACGGAGGAGAGAAGGAAGAGGACCATGGATCCTCCGCTGCTGGAGGCTTCAGCAGATTCCCCCCTCCGTGATTGCTTTGAAGCAGGAAAGTGGGAGGGGAGCAGCTTACACTCGTGTAAGCAGCTCCTCTCCCACTTTCCTCCTTCAAAGCAACTACGGAGGAGGAAGGAAGAGGACCATGGATCCTCCGCTGCTGGAGGCTTCAGCAGATTCCCCCCTCCGTGATTGCTTTGAAGCAGGAAAGTGGGAGGGGGCAGCTTTACACTCGTGTAAGCAGCTCCTCTCCCACTTTCCTCCTTCAAAGCAACTACGGAGGAGGGAAGGAAGAGGACCATGGATCCTCCGTTGCTCGAGGCTGCAGCCGGATTCCTCCTCCGTAATTGCTTTGAAGGAAAGTGGGAGGGGGGCAGTTTACACTCGTGTAAGCAGCTCCTCTCCCACTTTCCTGCTTCAAAGCAACCACGGAGGAGGGAAGGAGGGGACCCATGGATCCTCTTCGCTGCTCGAGGCTGCAGCAGATTCCCTCGTCCCGGGCTCCCTTTGAAGCAGCAAAGTGGGAGGGGAGCAGCTTACACTCGTGTAAGCAGCTCCTCTCCCACTTTCCTCCTTCAAAGCAACTACGGAGGAGAGAAGGAAGGGGACCGTGGATCCTCCGCTGCTCACGGCTGCAGCGGATTCCTCCTCCGTGATTGCTGGGAGCTTCTCTGGGCAGGAATTCCCTCAGCTTAAGTGGGGTGGGGGAAGTGTGGCAGGTAGGGGGGTACCTACCTAGACACTGAAGCCACATGTCTCTTAGATGAAAATTGGGAGTGAGCATTGTGTGAAGTGGCTGTGAATCTCCTGCCGCAGAACTGTAGGACTGTATAGAGTTGGGAGGGCCACCCAAGGGTCATCTAGCCCAGCCCCCTCACAATGTAGGAATCACAGCTAAAGAACGCCAGGCAGATGGTCCCCAACCGCTGCTTAAAAGCCTCCAGTGGTGGAGACCCCAAACACCTTCCGAGGTCATAGAATTGCAGGGTTGGAAGGGACCCCAGGAGTCATCTAGTCCAGCCCCGGTGGACAGCGGGCGCAATCCATCCCATTGCGCAAGACTAAAGATGCTGCGCAAGGCTAAAGAAGAAGCCAAGGCAGGGATGGATCGCGCTTGCTGCCTTGTCTTCTTCTTTAGCTGCACTGGAGAGGTTTAGCTCCTGGCTGGAGAAGTTGCGCGGCTATGGATCCCGCGCGCTGTCTTGGCTTCTTTGCTCTTTGGGGCTGGGGGGGGACCCGGGCTTCCCCCGCAGCCCCGAGAAGCTCTGGGAGAAGTGGACAGGCTGCGTGCAGCCTGTCCGTTGCTCTTTGGGGCTGGGGGGGGGATAATATTTTTTTCCTTGATTTCCCCCTCTAAAAACTAGGTGCGTCCTGTGGTCCGGTGCGTCCAATAGAGCGAAAAATACGGTAATTGGAGAAAACTGAAAGCAAGTGTGAAGTCAATAAAAAACAATCTCAGATTATTTGAACTAGAAATCAACTTTAAAATATTCATATAATAAAAATGTTTATAGGCCAACTGTAAACTGAATCAGGAGGGGCAGAGTTTTCCACAGAATCATGGGTGGTGATACCTCGCCGCAAGAATAATGTCTGGGTGGGGCGCGTTTGTTGACCAAAGCCCAAAATCCCACTGGGCATGCCCAAATCCTTGGGCACAATTAAAGTTGCCTTTTGGATTCTGCTCTGTCAACATAAATAGCAGAAAAATGGATTGTGTGACACCCTGCGCAAAAGAAAATAAAGATTTTCTCTCACCAAACTGTTACTATTACACAATTTGCTTCAGTGTATAGGATTTATAGGACTGCTGCAATGATCAAATAGCTAACATCTTGTTTTCATAA